TATTGATGGTCGGAATGATCCATCGTAGACTTAAGGGACAATAAGACGATCTTACTCGATATTTGTAGATAAATGTTTGAATAATTTCATAAAATCAGAGCAATAAAATTGGATGCCAGATGTACGATCTGTACGAGTGTAGAAGTACACAATAAATGTGGCGTACAATTAAGTATAGGTGATATTAATTGTATTTATACCATTTATTATTCCACCATCCATCTTTCCTGCTCTATAGTTAACAAAACATTTTCTCGGCATGAAACAATTTATTGTTTGTAATATTAAATGATAAATAAATTAAAATGTTTACGAGGTAAATATACATTTTTAAATTAAATGATTGCCCTATTACTTCGCTCTACCTAATTGCACCTCGAAAAAAGCGGTAAACAATGTATCGGCTAGCTGTTATGGAGAGAGTTTATTTGCAAAAGATAATGAATAAATGAGGTTTCGATTTGTTTTTCATTATTTCGTTTTAAATTAGCACATTCACCATTTCCATAATAATTGATGCGAGGAAAATCGTATATTATTAAACACACGGGACATTGCATTCATTAATGAAATCAAATCACAAATGCCAATAAAATTGCTCTATATTATTCATCGCATATGAAACATATTTAAAAGTTCTCGAGTATCCGATCTTTTTAATGGCTATTGTGAAATCGTATTCCAATAGGAAATGATAACAAAAGACCGTGGAACAACAATGAAAAACGTGCTCGAACTTTATTGCGCTTTATAAAAGAACTTTCGATCGTGTACTAATTGTAAGGCACTGTTATTTTGAGGTCAGCAGCGTACAATGAATGATGATCGATGATCGACATCGGAATCGTAATCTGGGTTCAAGTAAATGTACGTACAAATATCTTTGTTTCTGGAAGAACTTCTGAACCCTTAGGCGTTCGAAATCATGAAACATTGCGCGAATGCTGCAGTTACACAGACAGAAAATAATGTGAAGTGTCAGTGAACAGCGCGAGTAGCGTAGGTGAGGCTGGGTGAGGAAGCGCTGCGTAGCGTGAGGTGTATAACGCACGTGTATCGGAAGTAAAAAAATATAATCCGAAAACACGTGGTAATCTAGGATCATAATTATGACGAAAATAAGAAAAGTGAAACGTAGGAAGAAATTCCGCATGAATGTAAATCGTAAACGACTGCGGAATAAGTCAACTAAACTGCCGACAATAACGTGGTAAATATAACCATAAAGACACGTCGTACCGATGCGATGAAGCACAGGTTTTCTTGTTAACTACAAATAATTGTATAAATAAAATGTTGTTCGCAGTTCTCAAATAAAAAAGTCGTGGGAAGTAACGAAATCCACCCGTACTAACTTAAAAGAAATGGGTTTAGCGTACGATCCAAACGAGGTTTTAAAGGTACCCAATGTTAGAGAAGATATCATTAAGAATGTTAAAAATTGGAAGATTACTGATGCTGAAGATCAGTCACAAAATGAAGAACATGACGTTGAAATGGTGCCTGCAAAAGTACATGTAGCGGAAGAGCTAGAAGCAGAGGCAAAGGCACCAAGAAAGAGGATGTTCAGGCTACCGAATAGCCAAGTGAATTTCCTCACCTATTTGATGGACAAGCATGGGGAAGATTATAAGGTAATGTTCCTTTCTTAACGATAATTTATTTTACACAAATAAAATGTTACTTATTATTGAATCAACTGTGTAGGCTATGGCATTAGACAGAAAGAATTATAATCAATTGACTTGGAAGCAGATACGTGCTAAAATCAAAGTATTTAAAAACATTCCTGAGCAGTACAATGAGTACCTTAAGAGCAAAACTGAACAAAACAATTCTAGCTAGTTATTCATTTCAATACAGGTATATTTTATTTTGATACAAATTTCTGTATATAAAGTATTTGAATATATGTAAGACAAATAAATCAATTAATTCTGCATGGCTTAGATAAGAACATTAAGAAAGAAAAATATTAACTTGTACATGAAGAAATAGAGCATCATACGTGTCTTTAAGTGTATTACTATTATACATCATGAAACATTAAAATAGATTTTTATTTCGAAATATAATCTCTGTATCCTTATTGTATATATT